AAATGGTAATTAATTGAACGGTTTTAGTCAAGTTAACAATTTTTTTTTTCAGTGTATACGTACACGTGCCTTAATTCGCACGCGATACATACAGGGAGATCGTCCATTAACGTATATCCGATCGTGCGATTAGGGTATAATGGCGACGTCGATACAGGCGACATGATCAATCTATGTCGCTCCCGGAGATTTATGAAAATACTTGCTTTCACTGTCATGTCGTGGCTCAGCCGAAGACGCCGAAGATATAAGTTGAGAAAAGTTCACGCGAAAATCCCCCGAGGGCGAGGATGGGAGGGGAGAGAGGGGGAAGGAACACAACAGACTTCGACGTCCACCTACGGCGAGACTTGCTTCTCTTTTTTTTTTCGCGCGCAAAGTTTGGTTCAATTTTCCCTGCACCACATGCTGCGCGATATTAACGGATGTGGAAAAAAGGAAGGAAACGAAGAACGACATTCTCAAAATGTTCTGGGACGAGTCGCATTAAGATCATGACTTTGATCTCTCACTCCTCGTTAGCAATTAATGCCTCCCACGGCGAAGTTTTTGTCGGAAGTTTTCATTATTCACGTGGTTCTCCGGCAAATGTAATGGCCTGGCATTATTAATAGAATTATGTAACTCTTCTCGACGTTGCCTCTCTCTTTCTCTTTCTCCTTCTCTCTTGCCGTAATAATTACTCCCGCGAAGCTGCCGAGCGCGCGCTGTTAATTATTAACGAAGACATCATTCTGAAATATGCGAGTGACACGGTGATATAACCGAACATCTGTCGTCATGCGGCAACGACAATATAATTGAGCGTGTTAAAAACACGCATCACACGTCTGTTATGTTTCAAACGTGACATATACGGTTTTCCTTTCCCCGCGGGTATTGGCTAAACTTTACCGAGTTTTCCTCCGTACAAGTTGGAACTTCATCCGCGACATTCAATTAAACCTCGCGTTCCAGTGCCACATTTTTGCGTGCCACCGCAGAGCGGATGGGCACGCTTCGAAACTTTTTTATATACTTTATTTTAACGCCAAAAAAAGATAGAGATAGAGAGAGAGAGAGAGAGAATAAAGAACTCGTATCGAGTTTCGAAACTCGCGGTATTATTCTCGCTACATTTCCTTTAACGATCCTGTGCGCAGTTCAATGTAGCAATCACACTAACGAAAAACAATCGGCGCAAACTGAAATTTTCTTTGACGCGCGAATCGATCGAGAAACTTGTTCGATCAACATTACGAAGAGCCAGAGTTTCGGTCCGGCGATTCGAAACTGCCAACATTCCCCGACTTTGTCGCCGTGTCTGATTTTTAGCTAGAGATAAAATTCACTCGTGATTATTCGAAACGATTTCACGCGTATCGATTTCGGGATCGGGGATAGTGTCTCGCGTAGCGTTAGTGCTCGCTAAACGCGTAGTCGAATAGCGATTTGATCGATAACGAATTCATTAAATGCGTTTCGAATGCGACACGACCATCGTCCGCCATTAGCGCGCCTCTGGACATTTCGGCCAGCGCCTCGGGTCTTTGAGGGTTAATTGCGGACGTGTTGCGGAATTCCATTAATCGAAACGCTTTCAAGGCTTCGCTTGGTATTTAAACGCTAGTACACGCGCGTATACGCGTCAATCATTGGCCGCTCGATGCTCCATAAATAGTTGCTTTCATGTTCGTCGACTTAGAAATTACGCAGAAATGTGTAATTGGCTCGAATAAACGCATATTAGCACTGGGATATAAGATAAAACGGTGTACTATTTACCTGAAATATTTTGTCTGAAATTAGCATTTTTTGTAATTAATATATCAGTAATATACAAGAAGATGTTTTACTTTTCTTTTAGAAAAATGTCTTAGTGAATTTTATATATGGCTCAATATATAAAAATATTCTGAAAAATAAAGAAACAAGATGACAACAAATTTTTATAACAAGAATATGTTTTTATAATAAGAATTTGTATAATAACATTTGTAATAATTTTTTTTTTTTTATAATAATTCTTCATATATTTTATTAAATTCATTTAATTTCAGTTAATTTCCACTGAAAATGTGCCTTTCTTAAAATAAGGTACACGCTGCGAAACGCTTGAATTTATGTGCGATTAAACAACGTACAAAAAACAAAATACTGAATCGAGCGTGTGTTACATGATGAATATACAATATATAAAATTGTAACGAATCCACATGAGAAAATTTCTAACATTTTCCGCGCACAGCGACGACGACTTGCGGCTTTCCCGCTGCCGCTGTTGCTGCCACCATGTTAGCAACGGCTCCGACAACTCAGCCCAGGGGGGTGGAAGTAAACGGCTTGTTGCGCGTCGACGAAGCCCGTTTTATGCCCTGGAAAAAGCAGGAATTCAAATGAGTACCGTTATACGTCGGGGCGTTTATATGATAAAGAGTCGCCCTTAAACAATATTTATGCCCATCGTTGGAGCCGGAGGCATGCAATAAATACTAAGCCTATGCTAATCTTTATACTTGTCCCTTGCTCGCGCGCTGATAAGGTCTTTTAAAATTCCACCTTAAACATCCAGGAGACGCGTAGGTTAAGAATAATGTATCGATTATTGGCAAGAGGTGAAGGTAAAAGGAGGATGTATGGTTCGATTTATTGAAATATATTAAGAGATTTATTATATTTTGACATATATATTTTTAAGATAATTTTTTGTACCTTATTTTATTTATGAAAAAAAAAACAGAATATTGTGTAGTTTATTATAGAGTCCTAGATTATCAGAGAGGCGCCAACTCTACCCCCACTATGCCCACCGCCACCAACATATTTTATTTGCAATTATATAATATTTTTTTTACAATATAAGACGCATATATTTTTTAAAAATATATCCTATTCCATTTAAAAGATTCCATTTAAAAGAATATATAAGACTTTGTTTTCTCTCTCTCTCTCTCTCTCTCTCTTTCTTTCTCTCTCTTCTCTTTGTCTGGGTTCCAATTATTGAAATATTGTATCTCGCGAGGAAGAAAATGATGCTCGATTTTCTCTTTGAAACACAAGCCATCTAATGCTAATCTCAAATTATTAGTGAGTGTCGCTCTTTTCGGACGAAACGTGAGTCCTCCCTTCATCGCTATTTCGATTTTAACGTAAATTTTCAGAGAATTTTGCACATTAAACGCGCGCGCCTAACGAGAATCAGAACACTTGCACAATCAACTTCCGTGGCGTGTAATTATAGCGTGTCAATAAATTTCAATCGACGAGCGTAAGGGGCGTTTTGGTGATCGGAACTGCTCGATGTTTCCGAGATTCAGTTTGGCAGCTTTATCGGCGTATAATTGATAACGGTGATGACGCCCCTCCACTGTTCGTCCGCCGTTGTCGTATCAGATATTTCGCGACGAGAATATCATATCGAACTTTATCATATATGACCATCTTAAGACACAAACGTCAGTAGTGCTTATATATATATATACATATATACATATATATGTTTTAAATATGTGCAGCTTAATTTCTTCATATATAACATATATAAGACATTTCTACTTACCATGGTAACAAGAAATTATAATATGCACTTATTTAAACTTTTAATATTAACACAATCACATTTGATTGACAGCTGTCAGACTGTACGTGTGATGTTTGTACTCTAACATGGCGGCTATTTTAATCGACCAATCAGAAAGTGGAACAAGTTGGCGCCTCTCTGATAATCTAGGACTCTAGTTTATTGTACAATATAGATGTTACTTTATTTAGAAATAATTTCTTTTTTCTATATAAAGGAGAATTTTGTGTCAGCAGTAAGGGATCAATTTTAAACAACTGACACATTTATCTTTTCACACTATCTCGTACCAAAATTAATACGTTCTTAATTTGTTCGTATCTATAGATGCGGTATTCCGTGACTCGATGTCGTTTATCTAACAGTGGAAACAAGATACCTCAACCCGATAACACGAGTCTGATAGTTTGACGAGATATTTTGCCTGACATTTTTTATACGGTATCGTATTAATATAAGAGATATAGAATCTAGCCTTACTATTTTTCGATATTATAATAAATACTGATAAAAAGAAGAAATAAAAATCATTCCTTATTAAAAACAGAGATACAAAGTTAAGAATTGACCACGACGTACTTTACTGCAAAGGAACATAAGTACAAGATAGATTTTTTTTCGTTGTTGTCGCCTTCGTTTTGGGGGAAAAAAAGAGACCGCTTCATTCCAGTAGAATTTCGAGGATAGGAGCCGGCGGCGATTTCCGTTCTCGCGCGCGACAAATCGGAAGCGGCGAGGCGAGACGCGGTCGCTTTCTTTCTCGCGTCGATCGGTCAGCGGTACACAAAAAGAGTCCGGAAGATTCCCGGGTTACCGGGAACCCGGCGCACCCCGGCGGAACCCTTAACCCTCCCGATTTTCTTTTTCCCGCTCGTCACACGGGGGCGGAGCACGAAGGCAGCCGACCGAATCGAATGGAAACTCGTTTCTTGGGAATAGCCTACCGGAAATTTACGGAAGGAATTGGTCCTCCCGTGTGCGATCTGACCAACGAGCTCTATCCAACTTGTGCTGGAATCGGTCTAGCCTGGATTGCGCCTCCGGCCGGCGAGCGACGCTACGGCGGGCAGGGATGTCCACGGAGAAACGGAATTTCATAAGCCGAATCTCTTAATCCTATCGCCCTTCCGATTTCGCGTATCATCCTATTGGACCGCGGCCGGCAAACCGCCGATATTTCGGATATTTCCACGTCGAACGCGAGTATCGCTTTTCGATTTATTTATTTTTTTTTCGCGTCGTTTCTTGTAAACGCTCCCGTAGCGTATCGGAGATTAAAGAATCTCGCTGTTATAGAAGCTTCGCAAAGTAACGGGAAAATAGCACGCAAATGAGAAATGCTCAAAGATCAGTCGTAATACGCAGCCTACGGGCTTTCAATCGAAATTAGCGCGAGACGACGAAACGATCGTTAAATGAACGTCAAATGTTGTGTTTTCAGTTCCTCTGGTGAACATCAGCGTCGTGGAAGGAAGGCCCGCCGAATTACCGTGCGACATCACTCCTCCCGGCGAAGACACGCTGCACATGGTTTTCTGGTTTAAAGACGAAGCCGGAGTACCGCTGTATACGTAAGTTTGCAATTTTGTTCTTGTCGCGGAATGTCGGTGAAATTAGCATTTGCGAAATTGCTACTATCAAATTGCGACGTCGGCTAAACGACGAAATACGTGACGGATGTTTGCAGAAATAACTCTTAGGGGTACGGCTCTAATAAAATCTCGACAAATATCCTACTCCCTTTGTATACAGGGTGGCCCCGAACGTTCCAGCCAGACTTTGAGATCTTAGGAAATTTAATTCTAAACAAAAAATTTCCTATAAATATTGGTCGAAAAATGCTTTCTTAAGGAGTTATCGCTCAAAAACCTCTGAAATCGTGATTATTTTACACATTTTTCCAAATATCATGAAAAATGTGCGTCAGAAGCATTTCTCGACCCATGTTTATAGGAAATTTTTTATTCAGAATTAAATTTCCTATAAGATCTCAAAGTCTGGCTGGAACGTTCGGGGGCACCCTGTATATTCTTAAGAAATATTATGATCGAATTGAATAAACTAGAGAGTAAAAGAGGAGACGAAAGATAAAATGATATGTGTTTTGCACATCTTTGAGATATTATTAGAAAACTCAGTGCAATTTCTCGCGTCAATACACTCTATTATATTGGCTTGTTTATTTCAAAGATCAAAGTCTTTATACATCGCGCGATTTGTCACGAACATCGTCGAAATAAACGCCAATGAAAAGCAGGAATTCGCGCTTCGATTTATCGTCTTACCGAACGATACGTCGCGTACGGTACGTTTCTCGTGTCGCGAAAAAATTTCAGGCACTCCAAGAATCTACGATTTTCACGACTAATATGTCGTAAAACCGACCCGCGCGCGACTCTCTCTTTTCCATTACGGCAGCAAAACGGATGCGAATCCGACTCGCCTCCCGTTATTAAACGTACATCACCTCGTGCTCGCTCGCCGCGACGCCTCCGACCGAAATTCCTCTCCGCATTCCATATCCCCCCGATGTGTTCTCCCTTACGTATAAACGGCGCTCGAATTATTACACGGGGCATCCCCTCGCGTACGATCTCTTTTTCTATCGTTTGCCCTCGGAGACACGGAACGAGCGAAAGAGAATTATTTGCGCGCTTGTTACAAGCGTAGCTTCCAGTAGTTTCCAGATTTTACAGTCAGAGGTCTGTGCTTATATAATACTTAGATGGCGATCAGAAGGAATTTTAACGACGTGGAAAATTCGCTCAATTAATATAAGCGCGCTATTGATATCGTCGCATTTTGTTTGTCGGGATGAGGAGAAGAGGGTGAGGGAGAGAACGCATTTCGAAACGTGGGAATCGCTTCGCGGTCTATGCTGCCATTAACCCGTATGCCTCCCCGATATTTTTCGATCCTCGCGAATTGAAGACAAACAGTGCGTTCCGAACGAAACGCAAATAGAGATCGGGAACGCTTAACCCGTTCGCGGCAACGAATACACATATGTATCGCTGCACTTTTCCCTACCGATCGTGCACGCGAATCCTCTATATTTTCCACATTTTTTAACCCGATCACGAGAAAGAGAGAGGATCCGCCCGCGAATTCTTATAGACGCGTTCTTTTCTTGTCCTTGGAGTTAAACTCAAATATTTCTTTAATAAATTATATATATATATATTGCTGTATATATATATATGAGAGAGAGTATTTTTATCTTACATATTTTATTTGCAATTATATAATATTTTTTTTACAATATAAGACGCATATATTTTTTAAAAATATATCCTATTCCATTTAAAAGATTCCATTTAAAAGAATATATAAGACTTTGTTTTCTCTCTCTCTCTCTCTCTCTCTCTTTCTTTCTCTCTCTTCTCTTTGTCTGGGTTCCAATTATTGAAATATTGTATCTCGCGAGGAAGAAAATGATGCTCGATTTTCTCTTTGAAACACAAGCCATCTAATGCTAATCTCAAATTATTAGTGAGTGTCGCTCTTTTCGGACGAAACGTGAGTCCTCCCTTCATCGCTATTTCGATTTTAACGTAAATTTTCAGAGAATTTTGCACATTAAACGCGCGCGCCTAACGAGAATCAGAACACTTGCACAATCAACTTCCGTGGCGTGTAATTATAGCGTGTCAATAAATTTCAATCGACGAGCGTAAGGGGCGTTTTGGTGATCGGAACTGCTCGATGTTTCCGAGATTCAGTTTGGCAGCTTTATCGGCGTATAATTGATAACGGTGATGACGCCCCTCCACTGTTCGTCCGCCGTTGTCGTATCAGATATTTCGCGACGAGAATATCATATCGAACTTTATCATATATGCATGCCGTTTCTTTTTTTGCCGTAAAACGCGCATATCGCGAGTAAAAATATCGGTCAGATTTCATGTTGCTCGCAAACATGTTAAACAACCTATTAAGATAATTATAGTCGACATTCTAAATCCGTTCGTTTTAATGGAATATTGATGGCGTAAACGTTTATTCAAGATTATTTTATTCTCGAGACACAATGCGATGCAAAAATGAATACAGATATTCTCGAAACGGACAGGAGTTTAATTTGTTGCAATCTGTTATATTCAGAATGTATTTTTAAAGTTTTCCTCTCACGCTCGAGCGTGGAAATAGCCGCGTCAAGAGCGAGAGAAAACAATTACCGAAGTGGTATGCGCGATATTCCTTTTAAAGAGTTACGCGACATTCGCGGAGGAGAATGCCTACGCTAAGAGGAGAGACGGAACGATATTTAATTTCCCAAGTCGCCATCTTACACCAAAGATACAAGAATGCTCGTCGAGCAATTTCGTCCCGGAGTCGTCGGTGTTACGGTGTTCAAAGTACCGAATTAAGGTTCCTGATGAAACATAATTGGGGGTATATCGCCGGTATTGGTATCTCTCACGAGCACCTACCCGCATACACGAGCCCGCGCGCCGTTTTCCGATGGTAACTACCCAACGTAACGATTATTACGGAAGAAAGGGAAGGAAAGAAAGGAGAGCTCGCGCGTCGTCCACCCTATATTCCTTCGTCCCAGAACGACTCGCAATTGCGCCCCCTCCGCTCTCCTCCGCTCTCCTCCGCTACTTCCCTTCCCGCGCATCGCCATCTAATGACGACGGCGTTTGTCGGCGGCAAATGAGAGTGAATGTCGCTAATATAGAAACTTTTTCCGCCACGGGACCCTTTCATATGGTCCGGACATTTTTCATATGGCGCGGAATCGAGATGAGGAAAAGAATTTCGGATCCCTCCATTCACGAGGGTCAGGCATGACTCTTCTCTCCCTCCATGCGATACTATTAATTTTGTTTCGTCGATTATTAATAAGCTCTGCGCCCCTCCACCAGGGGAGAGTCACACGATCGACACGAGCCAGAATACACGTTCGCGTTTTGCGAATCAGAGATACGAAAGATCGTATTGTGATAATTATGGATCTCGAACAAAAGATTTGGGATTTTTTTTCGGAGATCAAAAATTCTTTAATCACGATCTGAGAGGACCAGATAAAAATTATTCCGCGCGATTTTACATCCGATACGTAGGCGTATTAGGTGGCTGGGCTGCGCGACGTTAAGAATTTTGCGCGTTTTTTTTTTTTTTTTTTTTTTGCGAGGAAGCAAGTAATTTTCGCTGACGCTTCCACATCTGGCCGCGGAGTAGGTTGTGTAAAAACGCGCTTATGTCGTGCATGCGAGATGCGCGATATAAATCTATTACGGGATGAGCTAGTAAAATGAAGCCCGTGAGATATGCGTTTATTTTTATCGTGCAAAATTGTATCTCGGTGACTCGCTGAACAGGCATTACATGATTCGCTTTTCGCAATATTTCCGGAAAATTTTCCGCAAACTAGAATTTTTTAATTCTCGTCCGTTCGTGCGCCCTCGTCACTACGAAAACTTCCGGTTTACACACATGCATACATACATACACTTAGACACACGCAGCTCTGAGAGCTAATAAAATCGAGAGAAATATTCCGTTGGCGAGAGAGGAGAGAGAGAGAGAGAGAAAGAAAGAGAGAGAAGGAGGAGAATTAGCTTCGTTCGCGGAACATATTGAAAAACTTTGTCGAATGGCACATCTTGACGCAGCCGCGCGCGTTTCGTTCTTTTACGATTATTCCGCGCATTGACGTTCCTTAATATCCTGTGCTCGCGGGAAGGGAAATCCTCTTCGTCGCGGCAATAAACATCCGGCATTCACGCGCGACGCCGTATATCCCGTGACCTTATATGTACGCGCGAAAAGGGCGCGACTCCGCGCGCGTTGCCCTCGCGGATGGTAGGGGGAGGAGAGTGGCGTACTTAACCCGTTGTTTATTGGGGCCATCTCATTAGGGAAATATTCCGAGGCCCGTGTGGACATATCATCAATGTTGCGTGCGTGCGCGGAGGAGAGGAGGGGAGCACTAATTATAACATACCACGCGAGGAAGGCCCGGTATGCGAGCTATGCGCGCGGCCAAAAGCTCCCCTCCTTCTACCCCCCGCTTCTCTCCCCTTTCTCGCATCGCGTACCCAAACACACCATCGATAGACCGCCGCCTATCTTGTCGTGTTATCAAATATTTACGCTAGCATCGCGACGCGCTTTACCACTGTCCACTTTGCGTGAATCGCCAAAAGGAATCGACTCAGCACTTTTCACAGGCGCTTCTTCCTCGGGTTGGAAGGTGGCCTCGGATCAACACGGAGGCATCGATCTTCCCGAATTCAATTCAGCTTGCCGCTTTCTCTCTCTCTCTCTCTCTCTTGGCAGTTTATCGATCTTCTTCGTTTCTCGGGATTCGTACAACTAACCGAGTTTTATCTCGACTGCGATAAGAAGGAGGTAACAGTGAGACGATAAATAATTGCGAGCCACCTTTTAAAAGCAATCTTCGAATAATAATTAAGCTAATGCAGCGTCGTTAAAAGCCTCGCCGATGCTTTCGCGTAAACGTCACTGGAGGAGGAGAAAATATAGACGACGCATCGTGCGAGAGAGTGTACAGGCTATAATCGTGATCCGGTCAGAATAGCCGGAACGCGTCGCGCGTAAT